GTTTATTCGGTTGGTAAGTTGGTACAGATATCGCCTGAGTAGTCTATAACTAACTCAGCTCAGAACTTCTTCGACACTGTCTTTTTACATGCCACTATTTTACGTCCTTGTTTGTAGACGAGTTCATCTTCAAGAGGGGTGGTAGGTTCCCACACAACAAGAAGGAAGACGACTTATAATGGAGAAGAAATATTAATCGACACAATAAATATTTAACAATTTTCTATATCAGTAATATTCGTAAAACCTATTCTTGAAGGGTGTAAAATCCAAACATTTGAAAACTATATTCATCAAGCAATTAAAATGTACATATTCTAAGAGTTCTAAGATAGACATCTAGAAATCTAAAGACCTCAATTTATGAACCCAGAAGCAAACTGATCTGATAATCGATTAAATTTCTTAGTTAATCACAGTAATAAAACCGGTCATAATTCTGATTTAAAAAAAAATAATAATAAATAAAAAAAATGAATACACCCCATCATGGAGAAAATAACCAGAAGAAATATTAAGAAATAACTTGCATACAATAAATACTCATCAGATGCACTTTTAACATAGTAATATTTATAAAACCTATACATAAAGAATGAAAGATCCAAACATTTGAAAATGATGTAACCTGGTATTAAACATTAACATCTAGCATCTGTCATAAATGTCTTCTTCCTCTATGCGTTGTGTTCCTTCAAGACGTTGGCGATCATGGCTCTCCATAACTTCCTGTCTTTTGTTGTAGTTCTTAATAAATTTTGTCCTTTTGATATCTCTACTAAATTTTTTCCGCCATCCATTTACTCAAGCTCATTATTCTTGCATGTGCCATGTTCTTTCAGGACGTTGGCGATCATGGCTCTCCACAATGTCCTTTCCATTGTAGCTCTTAAGAAATGATATCTTTTTGTTATCTCCCCTAAACCTGATTCTGCCATCCATTTACGTAATATCATTCTTCTTCTATGTGCCATGTTCTTTCAGGACGTTGGCGATCATGGCTCTCCACAATGTCCTTTCCTTTGTAGCTCTTAATAAATTTTGTCATTTTATTATCACTCTATGTTTTTGTATCCATTTACTCAAGCTCTCCCAGTAAGTTATGCGCTGTTTTTCTGTCCTTCTAGCCTTTTATTTGCTCTTTGACCATCACATTTTCTAAGCCCTCATCATGTATCCGAGTAATTTCAATTCAGTCTTTTGGATGTTTAGTATAAATGTCCTTTTGTTTCTATTTCTTCTAAAAAAGATGGTGACCGCCAATAATGAATCCTGGTAGGACTTCTAATTCTCTCAAAATCGCGCCACTGTATAGGTTGAATAAGTCCAGTGAGAAGACACATCCTAGTCTCACACTCCTTTTGTATTTTTACTGAATTGATTTTCTATCCGTATGTAGTTGGTTTTATATATCTGTATAGTTTCTGGATTATTCGAAAATAATAATAATAATCATAATAATAGTCCGGTTCACACTCCTCCAGGATAATTTTAACAGGATTAGAGGTTTATTTTTTGTTTTCTTTTTAGGACTGGGTTTCCGGTTCCTTCTAAAGCACACTTTATACGCGTTTATGCTTATCTGAATATTATAGTCAAGTCAAGGGTCAATCGTTATCTATCCACCTTATCCTCATAATCTTCACTTCATAACATCCTCGTTCACTCATATCACACATCATTGCATAAACTTTTTAACAGTCACTCTTAAGTTTGAGTGGCTCATGAGCCTTGTAATAGGTGGATTTTAGCTTAAAAAGATACAGTCGGAATAACTGAATTAATATTTTCATTTGAGTCAGATGTAGGTAAGTAAGAAGGGCAAAAAACTAAGTTTGCGATAATTTTTTTTGTCAATAATAATAGACTCTGCTGGACGCTGATAACATAACAGAAGAGAGATTAACCGAGCAGAGTATGGAACCGCCCACGTGCAAGTATCATGAGAGTGCCTCACCCGACGAACGAATTTCCTGTCCGGCCGGGCAACGCGATAAACGATCTAAAATAAACCGACCCACCTAAGTATTTTTCAAAAAAACGTTTCAAAAATTAAGTTTCTTAAAAAATTTAAAATAAAATAATATATTGTATAAAACAAATAAAAAAGAAAAGAAAAAGGAAAATGAACCTTAAAACTCGAATATGTTTGAAGAAAAAATAGGAGAGAAGTTGACATTTACATGAGAATATCAAGTCTTTCGAAATCTTACACACACACACACACAAACACACACACATATAGTGATTTTCCAAGCGTTGCTAAGATGTGGCACAAGGCCAGAATTAAGGAGCACCCTGTGAGGATCGAACTCAGTGATTTTCTAAGCGCGGCTTAAATGTGGCACCCAATGAGGATCGAAATCACTACTCAGTCGTAACTGATCTAGCAAGACAATCTTTTAACAATTACACTACGTCGAGGTGCCCGACACACACACACACACACACACACACACATACATATATATATATATATATATATATATATATATATATATATATATATATATATATATATATATATATATATATATATATATATTTTGACCACCGTAACGTGACTGACCTTGTTTTGCTTTGCCCATATTAATGAGGCTGACCCCAGTTTTGACAAAAACTGCTACTCTGATCAAAGGAGAAATAATTCACTACGACAAAATGTTTAGAGGGTGCCTTGATCGCAAGGTCAGGCACATTAAATTTGCACCCAGGCTCTTACAACATTTCACCATTCCTGGCAGAACTTCTATTATCACAATATGTGATTTCTAATAACAAAAAAGTGATTGAAAGAAAAAGAATCTCAATCAAATCGATTAGATTAAGAATTGATACGAAAGAAATATGAACAATCCAGCCATGTATACCTTGAAAAAGTCCCACAGAGGACGAAACCCGCTGTTGAAGATTTCCTTTTGTCTTTAACTTATCTATGTATCTATCTATCTATCAATAAGAAAAATGTGAATAAAATTTGTCACTCAGGTGATATATATATATATATATATATATATATATATATATATATATATATATATATATATATATATATATATTACAGAAGCCTAAAATGGCGAAATACATTATTAAATATATTTTGTAAAAAAATATTTTCATGAAAGTTTTCAATTGTTAAGATTTTAAATCTTTGTCGGGATTTCTATTGAAAAGTAACTCCTATGTATGATAGATTTTGGCTACTAAGTGTAATTTTTATAAAACCTAGGGAGTCTATAATACATAAAATAGGGAGTTACTTTTCAGTCACCCTGTATATATATATATATATATATATATATATATATATATATATAAACAAAGTAATTGGCGTGATTATAAATCGGCCAAGACATTGGCCCTAAACAAAAGAACTGGGGATGGGCTGGTTTCCTTCTTCCCAACTTCCTTTAATCCTCCACCCCACACCCTCAGCTGGCTATTTGTAAAATCTCTGACAATTGCCAACAATACCCCATCACCAGAAAAATGATTTTATTTGATAAAAATATTACATTACTCAAAACGAAACGTTATTTATGTTAAGCGTCCGAATGTTTAATTTAAATTAATGAAATTAGATTTTAACTCGTTTGAAATAGTTGTTTCTGATTTAAATATCCAGAATTATTTAATGGAATGGAGTTTTATTGAAATATTCCGCTCGTATATTAATGCTAGGGCATTGGTGGCGGGGGGGGGGGGCGCTCATAACTCCTCTAATATTCAATGCATTCTCATGTGAATAAATTAGTCTCTCTGGTCCTGGGTAAGACGATAAACTAAATCCAACAGTAAGGCCTTTGTTCAGGAGTTTTTAAGGAGCGTGGAACCACCTCTTAATTGCTGGTCCTCCCAGGTCTACCCTGACCCGGGGTGGTAGCACCTGTCAGGGTCCCAGCTATGGGCAAATAGTTAACCCCCAAAAGGGGTCAAAACACTATGAATGTATGAAATCATACTTGGCGGGCTTAAGCAAGTAGATGACAGAACATGGTCTGGGGAGGAAGGAGAGGGAAGCAATAGTTGAATACATGTTCTTTATATCAAATGTATAATCTTGTTCCCCAACTATGGGTTAAATAGCAGGTCATACTAAAGACTCGAAACTTGGATGCTAGCCAGTATAAGAACAAAAGAATTATCAAAACCGTGTAAAAGGAAGTAGAAAATCATGCCGCTGTATTTTCTAAGACGTCTAGGCAATTTGAAAATAATAAAGAAACCGTAAAGAAATATGACATTTCTTTTTAAATCCTGGGGGTTTGTAATATCGAAAAATTCTGTTAGATAATGACCATTTTGGCACTGAGCCATTTTAAGGAACCTCTATTTGGAAATCGCTAAAATAGACCATATTTACAAATCTATAGACGCAAAATATTCTAAATAATCTTTTATTAAATTTTAGGTACTTTGGCACATTACGAAGAGGCTTGTTGAGCAAATGTTAGAAAATCACCAATAAATTTTAAATTTACTATAGTTACTTCTCTTATTGTCTGATAATGTCGTGTATGGACGTCCGTATTTACAAAAATCAGCACGTTTGTATACACACAAAACTTTTTAAAATACTGAGGGTCGCTTAATTGTATACAAATTAATAGAGACTTTTTAAAAGATTTAAACGTTTATAAAAAAGGATAAAAAGAAATTTATTAATAAAATAATCCTTTGGTCTTTTCTCTGAATAATAATAAAAAATTTTCATGATAAAACTTTGGTTTTGTTTTCAATTTTGGGCATTTTTTTACAATGTATTCTCCTTTTTTTAGCGAGTCTTTGGAGATACCTATATAAATGCAGCTATATATTTCATATTTTTCGGTTTGTGTATGTGTAGAGTACTCACAAGAATATAAGTCAGTTTGAAGGAGTATAAAGAGAGAGTGTGCGTATGTGTGTGTGTATGTGAGAGGGAGAGAGAAATCAAGAGAGAAATTAGTACACCATTGAAATGGCAGGCGGATGGCATTGATGAACGAGCCCTCTTCCTGTCAGCCATTAATGGTATTGGACTGAGTTGAAAATATGGGGAGTAGAAGCAAAACGTCTAAAATATAAGTAGGGTTTGAAAAAGGAGAGTGGATAAGGAAATGGGGGTAGTAAGAGGTAGAAAATAAAGTGAGGGAACCGATGTAGGGGTAAAAACAGAGGGAAAAAGAGAGGATAAAAGAATGAAAATTGATGTGAGGAAGAAGAAGAGAAAGAGTAAGAGGGAAATGAATGAATGAATGAGGAAGGAGCAGTGGCGATTTTAAAGAGAATAATGAGAAATACAAGAAAGAAAACGAGAAGGGAGAAGAAGAGTGAATAAAGAGAGGAAGATTGGAACTAGTAGAAGCAAGGTAAAGAGAAGAATAAAAAAAAGAGGGAGAGAGAAGAGAAACTAAGTAAGGGAAATAAAGAAAAATGAGGAGGAAGAGTAAAAGAAAGAAGGAAAAGTAAAATAGAACGAGAAAGAAAAAGAGAAAATGTGGATGAACAAGCGGTGGAAAGAAAGGAATTAAAAAAAATAATAGGAATGTTTAGGAAGAAGAGAAAAGGAAGAACAAAAAAGATAAAGAAAAATGTAAGAAGAGAAATGCAAAATAGAAAAGAAAGAAAAGAAATAGGGGAAGAGAAGGAGGATCAAAAGCTACACAGAAGGACGAAGAAGAAGAAAAAGGAAAAAGGATAGAAGTGAAATTAAGGGAGGAAGGAGAAGAGAAATTAAGAATAGGAAGAGAGTAAAATAGGACAGAGAGAAAGTAAAAGACTAGATTGAAGTTGGAAGGGAGAGGAACAAAAAAAGAAAAAAAAGAAAAGAAAATAGAGAAGAAGAAGTAGATAACTGAAGAGTGAAAAAATGAAAAAGAATAAAAAAAAAGAGAGAAGCAAGTCATTGGAAGAAAAGAAGGAACGAGTAAAAGAATTGAAGGAAAAGGAAAACATTGGTAGTAAAGAAGGATAAGGTCGGTGTTATGGATGAAAAGAAAAGGAGAATGTAAAAGGAAGGAGGGTGATCAGAAATGGAGGAGATGAAAGGGGAGGACGGAGATAAGAGTGAAGGGAAAAGGAGAATGGAAGAGGAAGGAGGAGGTGATCAGAAATGGAGGAGATGAAAGTGGAGGACGGAGATAGGAGTGAAGGGAAAAGGAGAATGTAAAAGGAAGGAGGGGTGATCAGAAATGGAGGAGATGAAAGGGGAGGACGGAGATAAGAGTGAAGGGAAAAGGAGAATGGAAGAGGAAGGAGGAGGTGATCAGAGATTGAGGAGATGAAAAAAAAGAAAGAAATGAGAGCGAAAAAGAAATGAATTCGAGAAACGTCAGAAAAGTCTTCAGAGAAATAGAAAAAAACATTTATTAGCAGATGGTAAAACCAATAAGGTAATGGTCAAGAAGCAAAAACTAGTAGAGGACAATATACTGAATAAACTAGCTACCTAACAGACAGATAGATAGATAGATAGATAGATAGATAGATAGATAGATAGATAGATAGATAAGGAACAGACTGAGAGATAGATAGATAGATAGATAGATAGATAGATAGATAGATAGATAGATAAGGAACAGACTGAGAGATAGATAGATAGATAGATGGATAGATAGATAGATAGATAGATAGATAGATAGATAGATAGATATGAACAGGCTGATAGATAGATAGATAGATAGATAGATATAAACAGGCTGATAGATAGACAGACAGACAAACAGATAGATAGATAGATAGATAGATAGATAGATAGATAGATAGATAGATAGATAGATAGATAGATAAGGAACACGCTGATAGATAGATAGATAGATAGATAGATAGATAGATAGATAGATAGATAGATAGATTTTGGAAACACTGGAGAAAATAAAACAAAGAAATCAGAAATAAAAGTCAAATGCTTCTTCTTTTTAAAGTTAGTTTTTCTTCGTTGTTTACAATGTCGAACTATCGCACGGAATTTAAAAGAATGGTAAAGCAAAAAGTCAGAAAAGAATGGTTATTGGTCCTCTCCAACCTCTTTACCACTACATCCACTCTACCATCCCAATAGCCTTTTTCAAATGTTCTCCTTTCCTCGTCCAGCTCACACCCAACACTTCGGCAATGGGCTTGTGGCTCCTACTTCTTTCCCCTCCTCGTTTATTGAGCGAAGGCGTGGGTAGGTTTGGTCGGGTTCGAGGGTGGGGGTGACGAGACTTAACGATGATTTATCAGTGAGCGTCGATACCGATCAGTATTAATCAGCCGTTGTCTTCGAGCTTTTATTGATACAATTTACTTGCAGGGAATTAAAAGCAGTTTTTATAGCGAGGACTTTTGCTTCTAACCAACCATTACACCCTCTTCTCTAAAACTCTGTCCATTGCCGCAGTTTCCATTGCTACCGTCATCTTCACGGCCGCCAAGCGCACGTAGACACTCACAAAGATTTGACCGATGAGGGTAACGGTAGAGATACAAAAACATGGCTTGTACACGCAATCTCTCTCGGGCGTATAAACGTACGCCGAGACACACGTAAAGAAGGGCTGGCCTAATTCATATGTGATTTCTTTTGTTAGTTGTTAACATGGCCGATTTGAGTTCCGACCTATGAGCGAGCACGTAGACATAAAATATTGCATATTAGTTGATTCTAACTAATTTCCTCCTCTGTCGATTCCTCGGTGTCATGGTTAACAAGGCTACTCTGGTTGAGCATCAGCAGTGAGGTCAATCCTCACTGGGTACTCTAAACAAAGTTCGACATTTTTCAAGAGATTTTCTTTTTAATTATACAAAACATAACAAATAACCATAATTAAAAGGGAGACAAAGGGAAAATACGATACTTGAAAATAGGAAAAAGAGAAAATGATAATAATAATAATAATAAACACAATACACACAGACAGAACAATCAAAACTAACCGCCCAGACATTGTTATTAGAGGTCGCGGACAAAAAGGTGCCTCCTCATTGATATGGCAGTACCTGCAGACTGCAATGTATCTTTGAAAATCTTCAAAAAGCTATCAAAATACAAGGACCTTGAAATCGAAATCTCAAAAATGTGGCACATGGGAACACCAACAATCCCCGTTGTAGTTGGAGCCCTCGGATTGGTTGGAAAAGATTCCAGTAGACTAATTGAAGGGATCCCTGGAAACCCATGCCTTAAAGAAATATAAAAAATTGTACTCACGAGTACAGCCCACACCTTACGAAGGGCTTTGTTTATGTATTTTTTTTTTCCAGTGGAAAATGTCATGATGCCATTTGCGGGACACGGAAAGAAATGAGTTCACATCAGAAATCAAAGGAAATAAAATAATAATAATAATAATAATAATAATAATAATAATAATAATAGAAGACAATAGAATAAACTAACCGGTTATTACTCCTCTCTCATCAGAACTCGATCGGTGAAATTAATTTGTTTTTTTTTTTGTGCACAACTGACTAGATAGATAGAAAGATATGAACAAACTAAAATAGATAGATAGATAGATAGATAGATAGATAGATAGATAGATAGATAGATAGATAGATAGATAGACGAACAGATAGACAATAGATAGATAGATAGATAGACAGGCCGTAACAGGCCGATATGAACAAACTGTAATATATATATATATATATATATATATATATATAGAGAGAGAGAGAGATAGATAGATAGATAGATAGATAGATAGATAGATAGATAGATAAAGACGAACAGACTGTAAGAGATACATGAAAAAAGAAAGTACACACGTATCAATAATATATTGAAACGTGTATAAATCCTACCAGGATTCATCATTGATGGCCACCATCTTAACAACATAAGATATGCAGATGACACAGTACTGATGGCAGACACAGTACTGATGGCAGACACAGAAAGGAAACTGCAAAACCTCCTACAGAAGGTGGCAAAGGAGAGCAAGAAGAAAGGACTAAGCATAAATTACAAGACAAAATGAATGGTCATCAGCAAAAGAATGATCCCAAAATGCAATTTACAGGTCAAGGACACTAAAATCAAGCAGGTACAGAAATTTAAATATCTGGGAAGTGTTCTAACAGAGGATGGAAAGTGCAACACTGAGATCCAAAGATGTATTGGGATGGCCAAAGATTCATTCCAAAAGATAAACAGAGTATTATGAGACAGGAAAGTTTCATTGGAAACATAGAAAAGAGTACTAAATTGTTACATGATATCTGTCCTCCTGTATGGCAGCAAATACTGGACAATCTCAAAGATGAAGAAGAGACACAAGGATGCTAAGGATACCATGGACAAACATGTGAGCAATGACAAGGTTTTGGAAAGAATAGAAACAAAGAGGAAACTTATACTTAACATCAGGAAGCGGCAGATGAAATTTCTGGAACACATAATGAGAAAGGAGGGTGTGTAAAACAGTTTCACTATTATATGACATACACAAATCCGTGAAAGAAAGAAGGAATGTGTTGCGCCACGGAGTAAAGCAAAGGGAATTTCGCCCTCGTAATGTTGGGTAGGTTTCATAAAAAAAAGTTATTGCTTCGTTTGATCTGGATTTGTGTCAGTTTGTTATGCATCAGACGTGATACACGCTTAGGCGATCATGTATCTCTTTGACTGACGAGGCAGATTTTTGCCTCCGCAGTAGGTTACCATTTTTCTCCGCAGTAGACCAGTTGCCATCCAAGGCTACAGAACCCGATCTGTCCTGCTATTTACCCATAACTGGGGGTATAAGAAGAGGATTCATACCTTTCCCAAGGATATCAGCACGTAAGTGAATTCAACTGAAATTACGTACTCGGCTCACCGATTCCTCAAACCGAACCGCTATCCATTACTCCACCGTGCCTCCTCTGGATGTGTGGCCATTTCAAAAACTTGATTATTGAAATTATTTTCATTTAATAAATGAGGAAAAAAACGGAAAAAATAAAGAATATATTGGAATTTATATTGTGTCATATTTGTCGGGTGTTCACGCATTCGCTTCTAAAATATTTTTGTTTAAAAATTTTCACTAAAATATTAAAGTTCCTTTAAATTTTGGGTATGAGGAATTATCATTATTTATCCTCAGACTGTTGTCCTCATCTTTTTTTTGTTGTTGCCAAAATGTTGATGACATAAAGTATAAATATTTTAAAGTTAGTGAACATTTTATCAATCCTTTGAACTCGTATACCGGACGCTGTGTGAAAAGTGCATATACGGTACTCACTAGGGGTCAAGGTTCAAATCGTTAAAGTATCCTTTTTAAGCGAAGAAATGTAAGCAGAATCAATTTAATTTTAACGCGGATGGGAAATGTCGGACACAAATTCTGTGAAATTTCCAAACACTTAATTCTTCGCCAAAATATTCGTAACTAATCTAAAAATACGACATTGTTCAAAGGGCAACACAGATTCAGTAAACAGTTCTTCATAATTTTATAACCAAACACAGTTTTTTTTTTCAAAATGTGCTTACATTTTGCTAGAAGAATCGAGAAATAGTTATTTGTTATGGTTTTAATCCAATGCTGGGTAGCTCAAAGGGGTACTTTTAATCCTGTAAACAAAAACGAGTTCGTCGATCCAGGAAGTACTGATTAATTCAACGTTGAGTATTCTTAAAAATAATTAATGTATATAAATCTTTTCACTCACTACCGTCAATGGAGATTTACGAACGCCCGCTGGAAGTCAGGATTGACCAAAGCAGACGACAATAGAAAATATCCCCGCTATAAAAACGAAAAGCAAACACAATATAAAAATCCTTATTTTAATCTGCAAAGTTACGCCTTCTTGATAGGATATGCACACAATGAAGTCTTTATGTTGTAATATATCAGCAATCAACATCTTTTTAGATACTTGACACACATAGCTGTAACAGTTGGTATTTCAAAATAAAATTTTTTAAAAATTCACAAAGACTTCAAAAGTAGACAACTATTGTCAACAGCTAAATTCGTTGTTACAATTGTTTGACAGATTAGTGAAAAAAGACAAATATAATAAAAACAGATTATCGTGTCTTTTATGAAGAGATTTAAATAAATATTAAATTCAAGTGTAATTAGATTCAATTTGCGCGGGTGAAATGGGGCTTTTTTCTGCAAACAATTATCATTGTGAACGCTTATCCTTTAAGATTTCTCCCCACCATTTTCATCTCCACAAAAAGATCGACAACAAGTATTAGACTTCTCTTGCCCATTCATAATTCTAATCTCGGGTCCTGTTTAATGATTTTAATTAAATTCAATCCTACTTATTTGATTCCGGTAACAATAATTATTATAATTAATCTCATAGATAAGTTAATTAATTTTTTTATATTCAGGGAGTTCAAAAAATATCTCATACTTATCAATAAAATACCCACCTGCTATGATTTGTCTTTACAAGAGTTAAGTAAGGCGAAAAATGTAGTATTATTGCAGCTATATCTGGGTTGGAGCTGCATAATCTTCTCTTCCAAAAGCATTTACACGACCTTGTAGGCGATAATTGATTTTCCACTATACAGCCCCTTTCCTCACAGTCACAAGCCGATCTATCACTATTTAGATGGAAAAGGTCCCGACGAGCTACATTCTCTACTGCAGATAAGACTTGTTATCCCATATACACAGGGACGAACCATCCTGATTTCTTTCGTATTCCATTAGTAAGGAGGAAGTACCATTTGAACAGCTCCTTCCAAAAGCCGTTCATTTGTGGAACATTTCCTTGATTGGATGTTTCCTCGACCACTGCGATCATAACCTCTTCAAATTCAGTGTCACCTCTTATCTATCCTATATATCCTAATAATCTATTACACTTGCGTTCATGAGAATAACATATCCAGTAATCTTCTACCTTGAGTGACTCTTGGGTCTTGTATTGGGTGAACAATAGTATAAAATATTTCAGTATACAAATATCTATCTCGCTATTTATAGGTCTTTACTCACTTGATCATAGTCTGTTACAAATCCATTAAAGTGGAACACCCAGTGAACATCGAACTCACTAAATACTTTATTTTCAGGGCGTCGGTGATTTTGGCTATCCACATCTTCCTATCCTTTGTAGCTTGAAGCGTTACTATTCCTCACACGCCCTGTTCTGATATAACCTCGTTAAGTAGGTTATTCATTGTTTTCCTCTGCCCGTCTAGACTTCAATATGACTTATGAGTATCACATTCTCCATGACTTCTTTCCTCATTATGTGTCCCAGAAATTTATCTTCCTCGTTTTAAGTATAACTGTCACTTTCTTATTTTATTTATAATTGAACATGCAGAATAATAGTCTAGATAAACTAATAATTTGTTAAGTTACCTAAAATGAACGTTATAAACGTCTGAAACTAATATGCAGTAGCAATAGTTTCGGCTTTAGCATGTAGAAATTACTTGTTCGACCACAAACGTTTCATACGGAGAGTGCTTAGTCCATATCTTTTGATCACTGGGTTGTACATTTTGGTAAAGGCAATAGTGAAAATAGCCGCCTCTATACAGACAACATTAGGCATTCATTGTCAATGCTAATGGTTTGGTCAATAAATTATCGATTAAATGTTATGGTCGGTTGAAATTTATAAAATCATTTTCTTAAAAACGATTTTACAAGAAAAAAAAATTTTCAGGTCCACTGTTATTTCTTTTTCTAATACTTATAGAAATTTCTTTCCAAACCTTGTATTTTTCTCGGCGTAGAAAATCAAAACTTTGATAATATCTAAATTTTTCCTTTCTAGTTACATGCGCTACCCATTTTAGCTGTTGCTGCTGTTGGAAGTCTTGAAGAGATTCGTCATTTAGTATACATCATACAGATTTTATAATAATGGCAGTCAATAGGGTCCGATGAAATATCGTCTCCTTTAAGGTTTATAGGAGTTATTCGTTTGAAGCCAAAATGATTGCCTACAAATAATGAACGAGTGGGACTCCATGCACGCCCGTTAATTTCATTAATTTTAGCAAATATCAGTTAAGAAACGTTTAGATGAAGCGATGAAGGGTGGCAGGATGTTTCACTTCAAGACTGGAGAGGCCTGCTTGACTTCAAACTCAGCCCAACTGGTACTTTTTGACTATGGTGGTCCCAAGATTAATAAGCTGATATTAGATTGAAATATATATAGTTAGCATTTTGTTTTATTTATAGATGCTCCATAGAGGTGTTAATTATTAATAGATAAATGAAGTTTTATTTTAAAATAACAGCAGTAAAAAAAATAACTGAAAACAATTGAACAAAACAATTCCGGGATACAAAACTAATTGAAATAATGAAGGAAAGAATTGAAGGAGTAAATAAGGTGTGCGGGTGGTGCGATGTTTAGTGGCTTGGGAGGAGAAATCGGAAAGACGAGTTCCAATTCCAGTCGAATTCGTTACTTTCACTTATGCGCAAATACCATTGGGAAAGGTATGAATCTATCTCTTCTACCCCCTCCCCCAATCGTAGAACAGACTAGGATCTTCATCCTTGGTTGGTTGACAGTCTAGGATATGTTCAACTGAATTGAACACCCGATATAGACCTGGTTATGTACATACAGGAAAGCATCGTGTAGTCCTTATAAGACACTATGACTATGACGACAGTCGACCGCCTATAAATTAAGACAACCTATTATGAAAAGACTGTTCACAACCTTATTACTACTGCTATATTAATTCAAGTAAGGGTGACTGCGGCAACATTGACCAATAATACCTACCCAACAGTATCGAATTTATTTTATTTTTTTGCATGCTTCTATGGTGATGGGAAAAGACATTTTCCACATGCGAACAAAATAATGTTACCTTTCAGAAGCAATTTAA